TTAATTTTGCACACCTCCTGTTTTCACCACAGAGAGAAGCAAAATGTGCCATTGGCAAAGCTAGTGTGTAATTTGGGTTGGGAATTAAAGTGGAGTCAATCATTTCAGACCTAGCAATTCAGAATCGCTCCATTTCCCTCGAGTGATAGAAAAATCCTGGGCACCACACAATGTTCTTTACAGGAGATGAGATTTTTGTGGCAAAATAATGAGCTATTCGTTATTTTCCATCCTGTCTTGGTGGCTATGGTGATTTTGTGTTTGGGTATGATTCCAAGTACACTGGCTGACCTCCAGTATCTCCAAGCAGACACTGAGTGACAGTAGGCTATCCAACCGGTGGGGCATCAGAGCAGAGTCCAATCTCATGCAGTCTCGTAAATCAAGTAATAATAATCCTTGCATTTGATATAACGCTTTTCACGTTGGGAGGACGTCCCAAAGCGCTTCACAGAACACACTGTGAAGTGAATTGACTGTATATTTGTGGGTGAACGCGGCAGCCAATTGCGCACAGCAATGTCCCACAAACAGTCGTAGATTGAAAATGACCAATTTATTGTTGTTTTTTTGTTTTTTTGGAGGGATTATTATTAGGCGTGTGGAGTAAGGAAATTTGCCCAAGGTTTTGCCCTGCCTGGAATTGAACTCAGGTCTCTCGCTTGCAAAGCGAGTGCTCTAACCACTGAGCTACAGGACTCCACAAGAACTTACACGCATAAGTTCCAGGAAGAGTGACTGGATAGCTATGAGGAATGGAAAGTCTGAATGAGCTTCCGCCCCCACTCCGCCCCCTTTGTCTGTCTAGTCCAGGATCGCATTTAATGAGACAAAATGTCAGTAAGACTTGAGCTGCACATCGTCTGAGACTAATGCTGTGGGTATTTTCTGCTGGAGATTACTACATGTTCCCACTTTTTATCTACGATGCAAGTAATAGTCTACATCTCTGATGTATTCAACAACAATAACAACAACATTACATATGTAAAGCATCTTTCACGTCAGGAGAACGTCCTAAGGCACTGATTCAGTACTCAAATCGCTTTCTCCCCGTGGACCATAAATGTTTGGAACAACCATCAGCTCATTTTATTTAAAAAAAGTGTCCTGTTATATGCTGCTCAGTTAATGTGTACAGTGGAGTAATGGATTTGGTAAGGCTTATACATTGCCTTATTTCTGCAGACTCAATACAAATTTGTATTTGTTGGAGTGCCCTTCCGGGGTTTATATATGGGTCGGAAACAAGGGGAGGGGGAAGTGACCGTAGCACCATTGTAGGTAGGTTTTTAGTTGGAATTTAACGACTAATGGAGGGATAGAAGGAAGAAGTTCCAGTGATAAGGGGCATAGTTACTGACTCACAGCCAATGCAACAATACCACATAATTCTCTGTTGTGCAGCAAATACAACAGTGATGAAATTAACTGGCATTTGTTTGTTCTGGTAAATCCTTTGAGATTAGGATTTCTCCCTCACTGATATAGGAAGGGATGAGAATTCTCCCCAATATCAGTGTTCCATGTTTGAAAATCGTATATTTTGTATTAAGAAACATAGATGCAAAATAAAAGCAGTCTGGCAAATTGCTGCACTATATGGATGACCTCCCGACGTAAAAGGCGCTATACAAATGTAGTTTGTATTGTACTATAAGAGCAGGAGTGTGCTTTTCTGTTCATCAAGTCTGCTCCCTTATCATGTCCCCATACTATAGATATACAAACTCTCCAGCAAATTTACAATCTCAGTTAGATTTTCTGAGCAGAATGTGGAAATTAGAGAATGAGTCAGATCATGCTGAGATCAATTAAACAAGCCAGTTTGGAAAGACAGATTTGGGACTATTTCCTCAGTCACACAGTGACTGGGCAAAATGGGCATAACATCTGCCAAATGGCAAAACATTCACTATGCTAATGAAGTAAAATAAATCGAAATAGATAATAAATTTAACTTGTGGAATAATTGCTTGTTGCAGTTCACATTAGGAATGTAAATTGACTTTATGAAAATATCACTTGGTAACCATTAAGGGTGGAATTAATCTCTGTATGTTGACTTGGAGAAATTATTTTATATTGGCGGCCTTCACATTAGTACATTTGGAAACTGCATATAATGATGCATACTGTGTGATATAAAAAATAAAATGCATCGCTGTGCAGACTTTCACCGTCTCCACATTTCACCCGCAAAATGTGGAGTCAATTCACTTTACAGTATATTCTGTGAATTCCTTTGAGACTCTCGAAGAAGGGATAAGGCACTATATCAAATGCAAGAATTATTATTATTTCACTTTTTTTTACTTGTGCTAATTCAATTGGGCTGATCCCTACACCCAGGAGGAAGACCTAGATTCTAGATCTCAGACCACAATCCCACTTTGTGTTTTCTGAGAGGAAATACACTTTCAATGGGGTGATTTGGAGGTTGATCTTCCCTTAAGATAGCATTCCACAGTCATGTGATACAATGGCTCTTAGCATTGCAAAAAAACACATTCCCAAGTGTGAGTGGATAGACTAGCAGGCAATATTGGGACCTTGAACCAACAAAGATCTTGTGCAGGTGGAATGTAGCCTGTAGAATTAGGCCATCCCTTTCTTTTCTAAAACAAATGTTTAATTGAATTATTTATAAGGGCTGCTCCAAGCAACGCAAGCACAAACTGAATCTGTAGTCGTTTTAAGGCAAGAGACGTTCCAAGGCTTTTTCTAATCAGTCATCTTTCACTAAAATGAGGAAAAAATTAGGTGCTGTACTGACTTTTAGATTTATTTATTGCTTTTGTCAGAAATCTCACTTTAGATCTAAGGAAATGAGAGAGAATTGAATAAGAGAAAAACATTCACGTGGTCATTCACAAAGACTCTACAACGTTATAAGGCGGGTTGGCATTTTATTGACTCCCCCCAACTATCGTGTTATAATGTGGCTCTACTGTAATAATAAGTAATTGACCAATCACATTCTCACAAAGAGGCACAGAGAGAAGCTGAGTGGAGATACCAACAGCCTCCCTACAGTTGTACAACTGAGATCAGGAGTTCGGTGAAATAGATCGAAGGTGTGCCACACCACTTGTTGGCATGGGTGCTGTGGTAATTTAACCTGCCTTTATACTTCAATAGCTTCAATATTAACTATAGTTATTGGCGCAGAACCAGCTGGCATGAGCCAATTCCTAGCATGTATATTACATAATGAAGTGTTTTTTACTTACAATAGTTAAATTGAACTGAAGCGATTAATGACAAAGTGGAACAGTAAGAATCTCGGGGCATCAGATTATAAAACTGAATTGCCAACATAGCAACAGAGTGCAATGCATCAATAGAGCAGTAAAATTATTTTTTTCTGGCAATTCCTTGAAATTAGTGGGTACGGTTAATGACACAAATTAGAATATTCTTTATAATAAATAATGTATTATAAATTATAAATCTCCCTCCTATTTGCTCCCATGCATAAATCGGTAGTGGAATATGCCACTTGTTCTCTGGACTCTTTCCTTATTGTCAGCTGAACGTTATAATAATATTGAATTTTTTTCCCCCCTGGCCATGGAACTTTATATTCCATGCCCCTGATTCCCACAATGCTATCATACATTTTAATGTATACCAACCCTCTAGGAAGACTGATCTACAATTCTAATAGCAAGCATGATTTGGCAATTTTTTTTAATGCAGATACCTTTTTTTGTCATTTCATTGTAATTTTAATTAGAGTTGGTAGAGACAATGTGGCACTAAAAACAGCAGAGGAAGATTTCTGATTCATTTGGAGAGGCAATGCATTAAACCTAGTTGGCAGGCTGCCAGTCACCAAGGCCTTTAGGGATGTCTAGTCTCTGCTATCTTCGGAAAACACACAGTGATTGTCACAGCACCCTTTGCTCTGAAAAGTCAACTTTAACTATTTGCCTGTAAATGCCTTTAAGATATTTAGGGGATTTATAATTTGGATTGGAAAAATGCAATATCTTATGCTATAGATCAAAATTGCATTATTCAAACAATGTGACAATAATATTTATGCAATATTATTGTTTGATGTAGTTTGCACTAGGTTGCATCGTTGCCAGTTTCATCATCATCAAATGGAGAACCCTAACCCCCACCCAACCCCGGTCTCTCCAAACTCTTTCCACCCTGCTCCTCTGCTCACACCCTCTGCTCATCTAATTCTATACCCCCTAATCTGTGGAAATCCTTCCCTTTACCTCTCCATCTTACCCTCTCTCATCTGTCTCCAAGTCCTACCACAAAATCTACCTCTTCAACCATGTCTTTGATCACCTCCCCACTCTTCGCTTTCCCCTCCCCACTGCTCAGCATCCACCCCTACCATAGTGAAGCATTCAGATGTTATCATACGTGGAGTTCTATATAAATGCAAGTTGTTGTTTTTGTTGAGTTCTACAGCCAATATTGTCAGGCAATGTTAGTTCTATAGTGAAGCTCAGACAAAAACCTATAAGTAAATCAACTTGTAAAGTTACTGACATTCAAGGATTTCTCTAAAGGATTCCATCGCCAATTCTCAAAGAAGGTTACACTGACAAGACAGTCCAGTATTCATCACTCAGCTCTTTCTTTGATGGATGTGTCAAGCTTGTCTGCTTCTAGCGCTCAAAGATTCCCTAACTGACATTAAATGCTTCAGCCAACTGTAGGCTTCAATAAACAAGCATCACAGGCTTCAACCGCACAAGTTCAGATTTTCATTGTGTGAGTGAAACTAGCAGAGGCAAACGCAGAAGACCTTCAACTGTATGTCTAATTACTTGACTGTGATACTGTCAGGCTGCAAAAAAGATACACATACACAAATATAAACGTGCATACAAAGACAGACTTCTAATTATTCCGTTCATATCTCAACTATATCCGTTTATGTTCCAGCCAAATTAATGTATAGGTTCTATCGCAACTTGTGTCATGTGCATATGCTGGACAATCTGATCAGAGAGAAGTAGCTCACTTACCTGTTGTGAAGTGGCCCCTTGAATGTTGGGTCAAACTTACGTGGCTCACCTGTGAGAAAGTAGAATATGTATTCATTATTATGCATCAAAAGGGAATGTCATACAGCACGAATGTGAACGCTAGCAGATGCACAATTCAATATAAAGTGGAAAGGTGAGGTACTAGAGAGAATTATAGTGAGTTATAGTAAATCTTTCTCAATTCAGGGGATAAATAGATTCTCACATTGTAAGGTTGATGTTAACCCACAACAGACCATGAGGGTTGAAATCTTGCACAAATATCCTACTCTAAATTTTAGCTGTAACATCCAGACATGAAATTGAAATGTAAAGGTGCTGTTTGTCCCTTTACTATTGAAACCTTTTTGTAATTTAATATGATTGCTGCAACAATCAGATTACTTGAAAACCTGATCTTCCTTAGAAGGCAATGAGCTCTAAAATGCAGATATAGGTAACATCTCGGAGAGCTCATGAAAATAAATCTATAAAGAAAATTAGATATACAAACATTTCAAATCATAATCTCATTCAAAACCCTGTTTCTCCCTTCCTGCTTTCAATGGACTGACTGACAGACAACATAATAGCCTGCAATCTCAATGTTACCTTCTGCAACAGTTCGTGAAACAGGTTACAAAATATGTAAAAAGCGTTGCTTTTGTTCTGGAAGTTAAAAAAAATTGATTTGGGATTTTTGTTTTTATCCCTTTTTAAATTATTTTTGTTTTCTCCCCAATTGGTAGCAATACAAGTCGGCTATTACATACAGGAAAGGCTGAGATTTGTTTCGCTGATGACTGTATGATTTATAATGTTGGTACAAGATACATGGTTCACACCAATAATAATAATAATAATCCTCGCATTTGATATAGCGCTTTTCACGTCTTCTAGACGTCCCAAAGTGCTTCACAGAATATACTGTAAAGTGAATTGACTGTATATTTGTGGGCAAACGCGGCAGCCAATTGCGCACAGCAATGTCCCACAAACAGTCGTGGATTGAAAATGACCAATTTTTTATTGTTTTTGTTTTTTGGAGGGTTTATTATTAGACGTGTGGAGTAAGGAAACTTGCCCAAGGTTTCGCCCTCTGCCTGGAATTGAACTCAGGTCTCTCACTTGCAAAGCGAGTGCTCTAACCACTGAGCTACAGGACTCCACATAGGATTACGATGAAATAAAAACTTAAAATGTTGGAAAAAGCAGGGCAGGTCAACCAGCATTTTGAAAGAGAGAGGATTTTTTTAATAAAAATATAATGATACTGATGCAGTGACCCATGCAAACGCATTGTTTATGTGATGAGATTGCTCAGTTTCAGGTATGTTGCTGACAATGTAGGGGTAAATTGGCTCTCTGCTCGCTTCAACTCGCACAAAATCTACCTCCTGACATGGAGTTGAAGAAGTGTCTCTGGCCTTCTCAAAAAGCCTCCCAACTGGAACTGAGTTTTGTTTGAAAAAGTGAGGGTGGGAAGGTGGAACTGAATGAGCATTTTACATGATTGATTGTAACCTTTGAAATGAAAGTCGTTTTTTGAATATTTCCAAGTATTCTACCACAAAAGGTCGATTCCTAATTGAGTGTCTATACATTTCTAATGTAGAATGTTGTGAAGTGTAATTGTAAGAACCACCGAACATTTTGCCAATATAGTTAAGATTAGAGGAGACGCCTCTGGTAGGAAACTCATGCCAGGAAACCTTCTATGAAGTAGTCATTCTGTTGGTACACTTACCTTCTCATATAATTCTAATCACTTATCACATACACACACAAATATATATATAAAGTGTTCATTGAATATAACAAGAGGAAGACATTGCTTATTTTGGTACACAAATGTTTCAGTAATCCTAAAAGGTTTTTGTATATATAAGAAGTGATGAAAAGGTAAGTATTGTAGAATGATAGAATGGTTGAAATCTCTTCAAAAAACGAAAATACATTTTAAATAATAATTTGGTCACTTAATCCCCAACTGTTTGTGGGACACTGCTGTGTGCAATTGGCTGCCGCGTTTCAGCCACAAAAAATACAGTTAATCCACTTTACAGTGTATTCAGTGAAGCGTTTTGAGACGTCTAGAAGACGCGATAAAGCACTATATTAAATGTAAGGAATATTACCCCAGATAGAGACTAGCATTAGTTCCCTACTCGAGCAGTCTCCTCTCGGTCCATTCCCAATTGCTTTTCACATGCCCTTCAGTGTTATATTTCCTCAAGCACTGACCCAATTTCTTTTTTTTAGATACTGTTAGGAATCCTACTTCTAGAATTATTTGTGGTAAACCAATTCCACATACTAACAACCCTCTGTGTATGTTAAACAAAATTCTCCTATCCTCATTGTGCATTGGTGTTCTAAGAATTGTGCCAGAACCGTGGAGACAGAGTCATTGCCCATGATTTGGTCACACTCAATTTCTAACTCTCAGAAGGAAGCACATAACAGAAACATGGGGTATGAAATTCTGATGATGGTTTGTAATCTGAGATTGTACTGGGATTTGTAATGAGAATTGCACTTCCCCAGTTTCTAAAGGCCATCTTCAGAGAAGAACCAGTTTAGGACTAAGAACTTGTCACCTTATTGAATAGATAATAGGGCAGAGGAATGATGGTTATAATTGCACAATATTGTGTTGTAATGTAGAATACCCGAGCATGATGTTTCAAAATTCTGTGTCAATCAATAACCTTGCCAATCTATATTCAATTTAGTGCTGTATCATTCCTCCCTTTGTGGTGCACAGTTACTGTTGATTTGATGTGATTTCGGTTAAAAGGCAATAGGAATCTGTCTTTAATGGCATGAATTTCATTCTGAGCCCTCCAGATTGCAGTTGCAATGAAGTTTTACTCTAACCAATTCCAAACTTACTTTTGAAAAGTTCATTCTTTAAACTTTTCAATATCAGTGCACGGGAGCACTCCTGGCTCTTTAATAATATTAAAAATAATTAATCACCAGTCACTGACCAAATCACTGTACTAGTGGAAAGCATTTTCAAATCATTCCAGCTGTATAAAAAGGGCATAAAACCTTCAAGCTGTGCGAGAATTATATGCGAGCAACTAGTTTTAAAATTCTGAACGCTTGTAAATCGCTATTGTAGTTTATAACATGTAATGAGAAGACCAGGTCTGTTCTGCATTAAGAGAGCACGTAACAAATTTAAAATCATAATTTAATCTTTCCTTGGATATTAAAATTTGATTTGAAAATCTGAGCTATTATGAAGTAAAATGGATTTATGCTGCATTTTCTTTGAAGCTTCTAATTAAGTGATAAGTTACAGTCAATTGAGTGTATGAAGCACTGATATCTGGGCTTGCAAATAAAGGCTGAGGAACCATCATGGTGTCTATCACCAGGGGTGCAACATAATTCTGAGTTCAGTTACCTCAAATGATTATCACAATTATTTTAACCATCATGGAGGTGCATTTAAAATCTCTGCCTTTTTTGTTTTCAATGTGGAAGCATAAGTAAAAAGGAGAGAGATCAAGGAATGAAGAGATGCAAAAGAAGTTTTTCCCCTGCCCACGCACTGATGCTTTCTATCATTAAATTATTTCAGCCTCAGTTATACTGCACCAACCAGTGCTGCTTTATTTTGACCGTGTTCTAGGGGTATATAAGATTTTAAATGGGATCGAGCAGTGAAACTTAGAATAATAATTTTAGATGCACCGCGACAGCGGAACAAGGGATTTTCAGGACAAGCACAAGAAGTATTTCTTTTCCCAGAAGGCTCAGGCCAAGAAGTTGCCCTGCATTAATGCTGCTATATAAATGCAAGTTGTTTTTGTAATTGATGACTGGGAGAGTGCTTGATGATAATAATAATAATAACATTAATAATCTTCGGATTTTATATAGCGCCTTATCACATCTTCGAGACATCTCAAAGCGCTTCACACAACAGAATCTGTGATGGATGGATATTCTCGACGAATATGAACCAATTGCCTTCTTCATCCAAATTTCTCTTGTTACCTGTTGTGATGTGTAAAATTAGTCAGTAATTATCAATGGGCTACATAAACTTCAGGAGATTCAAAGCAGATACCGACCTAGCTGAAGGTTGCTGAGGATCATTGTGCCATCTATAGACCTGCCTTGGAGTGGTTGGAAGGATCTGTTCAGATTCTGAAGTGGTTTTAGCATGTGAATGTCCAGATTAATGCTATCTTAACCACAAGGCAAAGCAAATCCAGGTGGTGTGGGTTGTACAGTGATAAATGGGCACTTTTTCAATATGAGACACCACAATACATCTCCAATTAAATAGAACGTGGCTTAAATAGAGTACCACTATTCTGCACAAACTGGTAGTAAGTCTTAAGCATTATGGTCTGAGTCTTTAAGAATGGCATCACAGTAGAATAATGGACTCTGGAGAAATTGCCCGATGTGTAATTGAGTTCTGGTGGGGTGGCAGTAGGAAAGGAAACACAATTGTACTGCTCTGGTGTTCAATGCTGCATTTGTGACTGTAAAATTAAATGCAATATAATTGTCATTTAATGAATCTCTTTTATGAGATCAGGAAGAATTCCACAAAGGTAGATGCAAATGAAGAAAGATAAGTGTGAATGGTGACTGCAGATGTTTCTGGATAATGGGAGCATGTTCAAATGCCTATTACACTTGTTTTATTAATTCCAATACAGTGCTTTAATGTTCAGGTTAGTAATAACTAGAAAATATCTACAGGCTACAGTCATCCCTCATGCAGAACATTAACCTCAGCAGAACACACAGGACATATCAAAAAGAGAAATTGCAAAAGCATAAGTTTGCTGTGTGGGCAACATAAATATTTGACTTGTTAACTGTCATCTTCCCCTGGCAGTAACTAATCATGGTGTGTACATTGATCACCAGTCTGCGTTTAGTATTTATTACGATCAAACTTTTACTCAGCCAAGCTTAAAAAAAATCTCAGGACACACTTCACCCCACGTGCAGAATCACTGAAAACGGTCTGACAACTTTGTAAAGGATCTGTAGCCAATTGAATTACTTGTA